AAATGGGTTCATTTACGGGTACTTCTGAAATTGTTGAAGCAACAGACGAGCTGACTACAGGTCAATTTTCTCATGGAATAGGTGGACCAAATTCTGGATTTAGTAGGGGTGACAAAGATCGGAAGCCTCCTGTTCTAAAACTGGGATACAAGGATTCTCTTGAAGATGATATTAATAAGCTCTTCGAGGCAATCAATCTCAAAGCTTCATCCAAGGGTTCAGATAATTCGAAGCAAGCAGGCACTAGCCCTTTAAATAAGAATGCCTTGAAGAAGCCAATTACAGTGGGTGTGTCTCGCTCACCAGGGATTGGGAATTCAGAGCCAGCAACTCTGAAGCAGGCGTTAAGGGAACTCTCTATTACCAAGGCATCAGAAATGGCTGCTATGAAGCGGTTATCAAAATTGACAAGTCCTTCAAGAGCCTCCGAAGCTGGGAGGATCAAGACATTGTATAATGCAGTTGTGGTTGAAGCCAGTACATCTGGCCCGTCCTCAAGTGAAAATAGGGGAAATATGGTTGAGATCTCTCTGGTGCCAGAAGAAAGCATTTCAAATACTTGTGAGAATATGCCTGAGCATCCTCAAATGGCCAAGATGAAGTCATCAAGCCAGAGTGCACATTCTTCTCCTCGATTTGCCATCGGGAAAACAGAAAATAATTCCGGGAGCACAACATTGCAAAATGAAAGTACGTCCATGCTAAGGACAGTTGGGGTGCAAACAATAAAGGCAGAACTGGGACAGAAAGAGAAAATTGAATCTTCAAGTGACCATATTTCAGAACTTGCTGAAAACGTTCCTGCGAAAACCATGTTACCGACAAAAATAAAGGCGCAGCTGGGGAAGAAAGAGAAAGTTAAATCTACAAGTGGTAACACTTCAGTAGTTCAAAATGTTCCTGCCAAACCCAAGTTAGCAAGTAAGGCATCAGCTGCAAAACCAGGGCGGAAAGTCAAGTTGCATGCAGTACCTTCTTCATCTAGTTTGGTCAATGGCAATACGACAAGCAAACTATCCAGAAATACTCTCCGTTCTGTAAAACCAGCCAGCAGGAATAGGATTATCATAAAGAAGAAGATAAGGCAGGATTCAAGTTCTATGGCCTGCAATTCTAGTAATTATAATGAAGTTGATGCTGATTTTGATCCTTGTACAAGTCAGCTGGTCTGTGAGAGATGCCAATGTACATTGAAAGGTGCTGGCAAACAATCCAATCAAGGTTCTTTGGTGCCCCAGTTTAACAGTCTTACTGCAGAAGTAAACTCAAGTAATGCGCACACAGGTCCAAGTAAACCAGGCTTCACCTTAGACAGCAATAAGACTGGCAATACAGGGGGAGCTGACATCATGAAAGCAAAAAAGAACCCAAAATCAAAAGAAAAAGGGGAGTTCTCCCAAAGCTCAAAAAGTAGCCAAGAGTATAGTAGTAGTACGAGTTTGAGTGATGAGAGCAATATGAGTGGGTCTAGTTGTAGCAATAAGCCTCACATGTCGAAGGATGTGAGGTGGGAGGCCATCCGTCACGTTAGGTTGCAGCATGGAGTCCTGGGGTTGAGACACTTCAATCTTTTGAAGAAGCTTGGTTGTGGAGACATAGGAACTGTATATCTTGCTGAACTAATTAGTACGAACTGCCTTTTTGCCATAAAGGTAATGGACAATGAGTTCTTGGCTAGAAGGAAGAAGATGCCAAGGGCTCAGACTGAAAGAGAAATATTGAGGATGCTTGATCATCCTTTTCTCCCTACACTGTATACCCAATTCACATCAGATAATCTGTCGTGTTTAGTTATGGAGTACTGTCCAGGTGGAGATCTTCATGTCCTTCGGCAGAAGCAGTCTGGAAGGTGTTTTTCTGAAGCAGCGACAAGGTAGAAAAATTTGAAATAAGATCTATACATATCAGGGCATTCATTTTGTTTTGGATGCCATTGTTACACTATTTTTGGGAAATTGCTACATGACATCCTCATTTTTCCTGGTCATCTCTTATAAATTATTGTGTGAATGGAAGCTCTGAGCTCTTTAGAGCTTCCATTGCACCATGTAATTCAATTGGGAAACTGAGCATTAGATTCGCCTCTAATCTAGTATCTGTTTCTATATTAAATTAGGGCTGGAATTTTACCTGAGATAACTTAGTTAAATGGATCTTTCTTATAATTGCTCATTCTTATGTTCTGTATGTATTTCTCATATCGCACCATTGCAAACTGATTCAAGCCACTTTGTGTTTTCAGGTTCTATGTTGCTGAAGTTCTCCTTGCTTTGGAGTACTTGCACATGCTTGGGGTAGTTTATCGGGATTTGAAACCAGAAAACATTCTTGTGCGGGAAGATGGTCACATTATGCTCACAGATTTTGACCTGTCTCTAAGGTGCACTGTCAGTCCAACTCTTTTGAAATCACCTTCATGTGATGCTGATCGTGTAAAAATGTCTGGTCCATGCACACAATCTAGCTGCGCTGAGCCCTTCTGCATTGAACCCTCCTGTGAAGTCCCATGCTTCAGCCCTAGGTTTTTACCTGCTGCTGCAAAAACAAAGAAGTCCAAAAATGACCCTGCAGCCCAAGTCAGATCATTGCCACAGCTTGTGGCAGAGCCTACTGATGCACGGTCCAATTCCTTTGTAGGGACCCATGAGTACTTGGCTCCTGAGATCATCAAAGGAGAGGGTCATGGAGCTGCAGTCGATTGGTGGACGTTTGGAATCTTTCTTTACGAGCTTCTATATGGCAGAACACCGTTTAAAGGCATCAACAATGAGGAAACATTAGCCAATGTGGTGTTGCAGAGCCTAAGATTCCCAGAAGGTCCAATTGTTAGTTTCCAGGCTAGGGATCTCATCAGAGGGCTGTTGGTTAAGGAGCCGGAGAATCGGTTGGGATCAGAGAAAGGGGCTGGTGAGATTAAGCAACATCCTTTCTTTGAGGGCTTGAATTGGGCCCTAATACGCTGTGCCATCCCACCGGAACTGCCCGAGTTTTGTGATTTTGAAGTTCCAGACATGCCTGCTGCTCAGGAGAATACCAAGTATTTGGAGTTTAAAGCTACGGGAGACCACCTAGAGTTTGAGTTATTTTAGAGGAAAAATCACTTTTTTTAGGAGAAGCTGTCTGCTTGTGTATTATATTACTTCTTGAAAGACCTCCTCCTTTCCGGCTATAACTCATATCTAGCTTTCTGTATATTAGTAGCAGTACATACTCTCTTAAATTTTCAGTCATGGCAGCGCATATATCATATCAGATTCAAAAATTTTGTACAACATCCTCGCATATTATTAGTTATTAGTCTGTTCGGGAATGCTTCTGGGAAAGTTAAATCAGAATATATGGCTAATTGTCGGAGTCTTCGAGTATGGATGTTAGCTGGGCTTTTATATTAATATATTAAAACCATATAGCCGCACGGCTATACTCTGTGTGTATATATATATATATGAAAACCGTATAGCTGCGCGGCTATACTTTGCACATATTAATATATTAAAACAGTATAGCCGAGCGGCTATACTTTGTACAGATACTGTTTAAATATTAATATGTTAAAACCGTATAGCCGAACGGATATACTTTGCGCATATATATATATATATATATATATATATATATATATATATATATATATATATA